TCACGAGCCACAGAACACTATTGTAGCAGGATGTCTTCAATGGAAATTCACTATACAACATACCACATAAGCAACTCCTCCACACAAGGCTTCATCTGCAGCATGGCTAATAGTAACTCCCCGGCTATAGTGTGAGACGTAGCAGGAGAATACTGTGGAGATCTCAGCATGTTCAGTACAATCAGATCATACTATGTAACACTATCTCAGTCTTTTCAGTGTTTCCTGGAACATTCAGCCTGCCTCACGAGCATGCTATGCTATTTGTAAAAGAATGACCAACTCAAATCTGACCCACTCAAAAAAACCTCCCTGAAGCAAAACCAAATCCTGTGCCTCAAAAAAACCCCTAAACTCCAGATATGTAGAGAATTTTTCATGTCAATTTTTTATAACCAAGACACCCAGTTCTGCTCACTGATATGATTTTACTAACTACAGTCAAGTTTTTCATGATTTACATTCCTTCAATTTAAAATTAGTCTCAGTGGGGGGCTTAAAAATGATGAAACAAAACTCCTGATGAAACAACCAAAAATAATTCTAAATAGATTACAAATTTTTTCAATTAAATTCCTAAATGATAGGATTCTGAAATGAGTGGTATCCATGTGTCAGTATCATCCTGTCTGCCAATGACAACTATTGAAAGTCCATACAGTATTTTACACTACATTATGTAGTAGTGGTTTTGTTTTTCATTTAGAAGGGAAGGTTTGCTACAATGGAATCAAACAGGAAGCTGAGTTATACAAACAGCTGAATGGCTTGGATTGATCTCTCTCTACTTGCAGAAAGTGAAAAGGCATCTTTGGTTGCAAGGCATCCAGATCTTAATACCACACCTTGTGTGAGATACTGCCTGTTCTTTACTCTAATACCTATTACAGTCAGGTTGGGATATTGACTTTCTGTGACTCGAAGGATAAAAAGTGCCCACATTTACAAGTTATTAATGATTATTGCATTGCTGTAGCTGTTAACTTTTTAAAAACAATGCCCAAATACGAATTAAATGAGATCAGAGTTAAAACCCTACTACAATGTGAAACTACATGTAGGGTAAGATGGTTCTCTACATTTAACCATCTTTCACTTGCAAGTGCAAGATGTCAAATCAAGACTGTAGTCCAGGGCTGAGACTGAGGCAGTTTAAAGTACTTTCAATAACAAAATCTGCCTCAAAAAAAGCTGTACACTGAAGCAAACACCAAACACCCAAGCCACCTGTTCTCTGTGGCCTGGGTATTTTAACATGATTATGGTCCTGACAGAATTAAAGTTGGATAACTTCTTTAAAACTGGAGTTAAGTCTTAACAATTAACAAAGTCATCATTATTTTATTTCCTGTTTAGGTGATACACCTATAAATATCATCTGTGTCATGACAACCACAGAGTAACATTTTGGGAATAACATCTCTCTTGCCCACAGTGCCCCTCCTAAAACTTGCCCACAGTACTGGCTCAGGTGGACAGCAGCTTTCCTCCTCATCAAGCAGTAACTTAACATAGTTCATTATCTTGTCCTCCATCAGTGCAAAAAACAGTGATTACCTTCATATGTTTTTCCAAACCTAACACAGCTACATTCACCAAATCCCATTTTATGACTGGTTCACCAGAAAGGAAGAGAAAAATGATCAACATAAAAATTAAAATACATATTGCTAGGAAAACTTTCAGAATGGGTCAACGACTAACGGGAATCCAGCTTGAAACATTTCAGGCCCTAGTTTCCACTAGTTTTGAGAATATAAAAGACTAAAGAATCTGAAATCAAAGGCTATATTGGAAATGGGCTATTCACTACCTCAGCCTCGTATTGTGGCGACAGACACTGCAGATTGCATGCTTTCAGATCTCTCAGAATCCTGGCAAATTTCGCTGCCTCTCACAAAGTTTCAGCATTACAGATAACAGTGTGAGGTGCAAGGCATAAACCACACATAATCAGAAGGCACATACTGTTCTCTCATGAGAGAATGTCCACAGCTAGAGACTCTTTGTGTTGTCTCTCACTTCCTTGAAATATCTGTGCTAACATCAAAAATTATGTCACACACTGGTCAATACAGAGATACTATTAGTTCTTGTTTTACAAACACATTCCTTTGTATGGCAGAAAATCTGTCATATTCACCTCTGAAGCAAAGTTACATTGGTCAATTCCCTATGAAGCACTCATTTCTCATTAATAATTTCAAACATTCTCACTGTCTGTCTGTCTTGTCTAAGGGAATACCACTACTTGGCCTCTGGAGATCATATCATTTTGATTCCTTCAGTACTACTTTATTGTGACTAGAATAATTCACTTCTGGATTAATTGTTATTAATGACTGGACTCTCCTCTCTGGCCAGGCAGTGTGTCACAGTGGAGACACTGGAGGGAATTCTCAGCATTGCTACCAGTCCTGCCCCAGTGCTTTGGCAGAGCCCAGGAGAACATCTGGGCAGCGTAAGGCAAGCCCCTGTGACTCTATACAACCACAGCACATGCACACGCTTAACTTGCTCTGCATGCAGTTTGGCCATACTGCTCAGGCTTTCTATGACCCAGTGTAAAGTCTTTTGAAGTGGAAAAAGAGGCTTTTGTCTCTGTATTAATTACAGAGTATAGTCTTTGCATGATCTTTGTGGAAATTTCCTTGTCTGTTTTCCCTTTGACAATCTACTCCTAAGAATAGGCAGCCTGTGCTACTGGACAGCTGAATAACAAGGTGTGAGTGAATAGTCTGCTTGCTTAATACAGAAATACATAAACTCCTATCAGGCATTTTTCCTCTTTTGTGTTCTGTCCTGCCTTGACTGCACTAGAGCCTGACCTACTGAGGCCTCAGGCTGTCCTTCCCTTTGTGCTTAAGCCTGAATACAGATTCCCTCCTCCAGCAGATACCAACACTGCTTCACAACTGGGTCATGGACCAGTACAGAAACCTGTCACATTCCCTTCCCCATTGGCCTCTGTGTCCCAGGTTCAAGCACTAGCACCAGGCTGATAGACTAGTTCTGCCTGTAATGTAACTTAAAGAGAATTGAAAATCAATCCCTAACATTGCAGAATAATGTTTCACTATGAAAAATAACAGTCTTTGCATTGTCTGGACCACCTAGTGGGTAGCTTTTATTTGTGTGAATAGCAGATTATATTGTATCACCCTATGTTATAAAGCACCTGTATTTTATATGTTTTCTTATTCCAAAAATATATTTGCTATTCCATTTAGTTTTCACAATAGGTGTAAGAATATTATCTGCTTAAAAGTGTAGTTCATACATTAAGACTAAATACAGACTGAGCATCGTGTGAAAGCATCTGCATTTCTGAATGCAAGACATGCTTTTGAAAGCACCCAAGGAAGTTACTATTCTTCAGCAGGTTTACTTCCTTAATAGTTGCTCATTGAAGTGGGATTTATATGATCATATATCTGAATATTTTCATGCTTAACTAGGTAATTCCTTACTTTGTGTATTTGCATGCCTATTCATTTAAACATACATATTTCTTCAATAGTTAAGATCAATGCTGCATTAATCTCTTCTTCAAATTCTTTTCTTCTATCACTTCATATTTTTTGAAGTCTCTCTAAATTACTGGGTAATGGCTCTGAGTCACATGTTTTCTAAGGGTGTAATTCTGTCACTTTTGCTCTAATTGTTTTACCTCAAAGTCTCTGATTTCAAGACCAGTTGCAGGATAATGTACAATATCCAGTGAGAGTAAGGATGATAGATTTGGGCCCTGACTGTTTCCCTCAAGATGATTTGCTGCAATGAAGATATTTCTGTTTGACAGGTTTATTTATGTAATAATTTAATATAGTAATGCAAACTTCCCCTGCAGTCCCACACTATGGATTCAAAACCTATATGGACAGATATGCATGAAGAGAGAATAATGGATTTCTCAATCTGCTGTGTTTACATACTATTCTGGCTTTAGCATGGAAAGCACATTATGCCTGTGTAAAAGACTAAAATCATTGAATTTGCATTATTTCCTGTAACAGAGGAATCTCCCTGTAAATACCTATCTTCTCACTTTTCCATTGTAAATTGTTTAACTGGACTTTGTACAATTTAGACACATAAATTGCAGGATTAGGACTTAAGAATTCATATTATTCAAATATTATGCTCAAGCATATTATTTGTAGATTTACAAGATGAAAGGTGTCCCATTAAATAAAAAAACCAGAAATGTTAATGTATAGCACAACATTATAAACAACTAATTTTTAGAATTGACCTGGAAATTAATGTATTATCACATCTATTTTGGCTCCAGTTACAGATATCACATTATCAACCTACTTCATCTTAAACTGTGGAAGGGATTATATGCTGCAGTATTAGAGTCTGTTTTCACGGGTTTGCAAAGACACAATGGCTACGATAACAGACAAAAGTATTCTGATGGGTAACGATTTCCTGGAATATTCAGAGGTAAACAAGGCAAAACACAACAAATGTCAAAATGTTATACTTCAAGTTTTTACTCTCTTACTGAGCATGGCAAAAAAACCAGCAAATGCAATAAAACCCCACCCTGCACAGATTGCAGAATTACTGCACTTCTCTGTGTTGCTGACTTTGTGCACGAGTACAAACTAGTTGCCTTTCATTCTGCCAAATGTGAGAGATTTCATTACTGTCTTTGACTTCTGAGGTTGGAAGGCAAAGGAAAGCTGAAGCTCTTGAAAGTAGATTTTATTTCATTAAAAGGGTATTTTGAGATTATTAACGACACTTTTAGTAGAAGCTATATTTTTAAAATCATTTTACTTTTGCCTCTGTAATTCAGGTACTTAAGGGCTTTTTCAAATTTCCAGACTGAAAATGTGTAGAAGAAAGTATGTTGCTGTATGTTTCCTGTATGCCTTTGAAGGGATTTTTAAAAGACCTCATCAATATATAAAGCAAGTTACATGCTGACAACATGTAGCTTATAAACAGTAACTGAAAAATCTCTGCTACTTTATTATATTTCTTACCTCCATTTTCATGGTCTCTCAAGGGACTTGACTGGTCTGCAACTGCCTGGGATTGGCTAATTGGTTGTGAATCATTCATTTCGAATGAATGTTTTAGAACAAATGGAGAAGCAGAAATCTCATCCAAATCATTCTGGAATAAAGAATGCTGGTTTAGGCACATAAGAAATGTATTGATTCCACTCTGCCATGATAACTTACAGCTGTGATCTCACAGAGAGCAACTTGTTATTTTCTATGACTCTGTGAAACATCTAATGCTAGATTTAAGTTACACAAGATTCTTGTGGCTTTCAGTAACACTGACTTAGCACCCATGTCACAAACATTTGTTTACTTTTTCCATTTAACTTATTTATCCCCCTTCCTCATGCAGTTAAATCATAGCATGCACTGTATGCTGATTTCCACTCATAGTTAATTTGTATCTTTAGAAAAAAGCTATAGGAAGGTATTAATCTGCTTAACATTTCTAAGTACATCATCCAAGGGATTTTGTTTTTTTAATCTTACATATGCTCAGCAGAGTTACTGGCAAAAACTGTACATTTTCTCCATTTCATCCTTTCAACATCAAATGGTAAGCAGCAAAAATTGGATCAGACTTCAAAGACTATGCTGTGCTCCAAGTCACAGAGCGACTCCTCCATTTCACATATTGAATTCGAGCAGGATATCAAAGTGCTACCAAAGAACCTCAGGTCCTTACTAAAAAAGAGTCTCTAACATCTGTAGAAAGTGAAGTGCACAGACAAATCACCTCAGGGAGCAGCTAGCATTTATTCTCAGCAGCAAATTTCCAGCCTTTTGATTCTCTTATTCACTGTACCTCCCTGTCTCTCTACAGAACTAAAGTTCTTAGCAAGCAGGCTTTTGTCTCAAAGACTTCAAAACATCACTGACGGTTTCATGTTCAGATGGCTATGCCAAGCAGCCACGAACACATTGCAGAACTGTGGACTCAGGAATTTGAAGTTATAATGTGATGTTGTTTGAGAATATAAACTTAGCAGTACCTTTTTTGTTTGTTTGTCAAGAAAATCAGGCACCACAGGAGAAGACTGGTTACTGGTTTGCTGCCTAAAAGCAAAGAAAAATAGAATGTGTAGTTTAAATATTGTAATTTCTTCACACTTCTAAATGGCTTACTGGCATACATACTATTTTTTGTTGATTTTCCCTTTTCTTCCTCCCCCAATTTCTAAATATGCACATACAACCAATTCAGAAAAAACACAGACCAGTCCCATTTCCTCTTATAAGGAAGTGCATGTTATTAAACACAGTAACAGGCTATGAGCAATGAATTTGTCATAAAAAATTTGTGTAAAATGAATTTATGAGAATTCTGCAGAATTGCAGTCATGCATTGAGATTAATTTGATAAGACTTTACATGAAACTTTTTTTCCAGGGCTGTGAAAAGCTGTTTTCACTGAACTCAGGCACTCAGAATCTGATGGATGATGAAGTAGTGAAGCATATGTGTTTTCCTAAAACCATTTGAGTTAAGCACAGAGCAAGAAGTAAGATGTCTTAGATTCTTTGTCTGTATCTGTTACTATTTTACCATCACATTATGTCACAATAAAAATATTAAAGGCCAACTCCTGCTCTCATTAATGCTGATTAAAGTAACATAAAAACCTTCTGCAGACCCTGATCCTTATTGGCAGGCCTTTGAAGTCAATGGATCTCTTCAATAGTAAAGTCCACCCAGACAGAACTTGCTTCAGAATCTTCAGCTATGCAGAACCAAAGAAAGATGCTACCAATGGCATTTAATGGATTTAAAAAAATTAGGCTCATTATCTAACTAATCCCACTAAATAAATTATTAGCTAAATAATATATATACACAATAAATAATAATAAAGAACTTTACAGATAATGTGGTATATGCACAAATGCAGTGTCAAATATAGTTGTAGACATATGTTATACCTCCCAGCTCAAGAAGTGTGCCAGTACAAAATTAAAATGCTTTTTAAAATGGATCCCTTCATTTCCTCCAAGGAAAACACAAGTCTAAATTCAAATTACAGTTTAGGCAGAATGTTTTCCTTCTCTTTCCTAGTGTCAAAAAATAAAGGGGTGTTAAAATTCCCCACACCTGACAAGCAAATCCAAAGTTCATTCATGAAATTACAGCATTACAAAAAACCTGAATGTTTATTTACCATTTGCCTACAATGCCAAACCCAGACTAAATTATCATCTACATTTAAATATTCAGACTTTGGGGTGGTTTGGATCTGGATCTAAGCCTGCAGCTTGAAATAGTCTCTATCTTCTACTAAAAAAGGTAAATCTAGAACTTTGCCAGGGCTAGAACCTTTATAAAGCATGAAGGTAAAGATCAGCAACTTGCCTTCTTTTCAGCTGAAACTGGCAAAAAATCAGCCTCTGGAATTCTGAGGATGCCAGGATGCCAATGGTGCCATGTTTCTGATTAAAGTCATCCTAAGATGGATTGTATTTGCTGCAAGATAGCCCATCCTTCCACAGATGTACTGTTGCTAATATAAGTACTTGATTACTAGCTGTTACTCAAGAGCATTTTTCTTCCCCTGTCCTGTTAAGAGGGGGAATGACAGAATGGCTTGGTGGGCACCTGGCAGCCAGCCGAAGTCAACCCACCACAACATCATACTGTCATGAAACACTTCTGAAAACATGGGATCAAGTGTAGATGCTGAGCAACTTGGAATCAGTCTCTGAGCTACTCTGAAAATTCAGCTAGTAGGCAAGATGAAAAATGCAGTAACAGACTCAGAGAATCTTTAAGGTTGAAAAAGACCTCCAAGCGTCCAACCCTTGACCAAACATCATCTTGTCAACTAAACCATAGCACTAAGTGCCCCATTTAGCTGCTTCTTGAGCATTTTCAGGGATGGTGACTCCCCCGCTTCCCCAGGCAGCCTGTGGCAATGCTTGACAAAAGGAGGGCAGCTCAGCAGGAGTTAATTCATATGAGTCGATTGATGATGAGAGCTGTTTTTAAATGCAGTGTCTGAGGCAGGGTATTTCCAGGTATCTTTGAAGAAAATGCTTGTCCTGTGGTTTCCAAGAAGGTTTATTTTCCACATTTGCAAGAAAGCCGTTTGGGTCAGTGAGGTGAGATCCAGTCAGCACACTTACCTGGGCAGCATGCAAGAGATCAAGGTTCACGTGCCTGCTTTCAGTCAGGCAATCCAACAATTTGCTGCTGACTGTTCAGCTACTGAACTATAATAGGCCTCAGTCTTCACATACAGACTGTCTATAAATCATTGAATTAGCAAGAAACATTGGAATAAAGACAAACATTGATTCTTAAGGTCTGTCTTCACAGGTATAGTGTATAGCCACACTATCCTGAGCACTGAAAGCAGCTGAACTGTAGCAGCATAAAACTAGTAGCGTAGATTAATTTATGCTGGAGAAAAAATACCTGGTTTTGGAGTTATTCTGGCCATTACAAGTGCAAGTACTGGAATTTGGACTTTCAATATTGAAATGCTTTTCAAAATCTTAGAAACCCTCCTAGATATTCCATTAGAAATAACACAGTTCATTTTGCTGAAGTAATGTATTACAAAACAGTAAAAATTTAATCCTTCCATCATGGATAGATAAAAAAATCTAAGAGGATGGAGAGCAGCTAAAAAACCAGATGACACCGAAAAATTGTGCCCAAATTTCCATTCACACCTTTAAAAACTATGAGTAACTATCTGAACTTATGGACTGTAAAGTAATATGAAGCTCACATGACATCAAAAACAGACCCACTGGGTTTGACTGCATGACACAAGGATTGCAGACTTCCTATTTCCATCACAAGCAATAACCTTAGTGTTTGCTAAGATTAAAAATAGGAAAGTGAAGCAATTAAAGGAAAGCAGAAAGTCTTCATACCTGCTTATTTTTTTTGTGGAAAGAAATGAAAACTAATATTCAGAAGATGACTTACACAAGAAATCAGTGTGGTCTTGACAGAAACTGAAATTATCCAAAGAGGAAAAATAGAACAATCTGGGAATGGTGTAAGGAGTAAACCAGCAAGACCTGATGGCATTCTTCCAAAGATACTGAAAGAAAACCCATTTAAAATGTGGAGATGTGACCCTTCCAGTCAGATCTCCATGAAGAATAGAAGCACATCAACACAGTGATTTTTTTCCTTTTAATGAAAAGAATGCAAGGAAGGTTCTGTTATTGACTGACAGAGTGAACCTCACTTTAGTGACAGTCAAGCTGCAGATCAAGTCAAAGAAAGCATAGCAAAAGAACGAAGAGTTTTTTATGGAACAGTTGAATCCACATGAAACCAGTTCCTGAATGGATCTGTGCTCACATGACTGAAATCATGCTTAATTTCTATTCTCAGTGATATGCAGGATGTTATGTTTATGTGCCAATCCACCAGTGCCCATGCAGGTAAATCCACACTGCATGCTATTTTAATGGGCCTCCAGCTGCAGCAAACCATTCAGAAATGAATATTGTTCATTTCTGAGGCACAGCAACAATGCTGTTGCAAAGCTGCCCCATGGGGAATTTCTCTAGAACAATTTTTATACTTACTTCCCACACTGATGTAGCAACAGCTGGTGGCACTCTGATGCCATAAGAGTGGCTGGCTTGCAATGCCAAACCCACTGGCACAGAGATGTTACAGTTCAAGAAGTCACTCTGTACTTACAAATCATAAAAACAAGCTTGGCAAACCATCTAAGTCACTCCCATTTTCAGAGGAAAAAAATGCTACAGTTACCCTTTTAATTTTTTTTCCATATGCTTGTTTAAGACAATATTTAACACCTACAGTGACAGAGCTGTCAAAACTTACCAAGGTAACCTCCACAGCGTTAACTCAGCTCACCATCGGTGAGCTTTTCTTGACATCTAACCTAATGCTCTTGTACTCCAATGCAAACGCATTATTTCTCACCTGACATCAGCTTTTCATGATTGGAGAAGTGATGCCACATCTCCCCTTAGTTTTCTATCTCCCTTAGAGATTTTCCCTTACCATGGTTCATAGAGATATGTGATAATTTTTGTTGCCAAAGGACTTGCTCATGTACTTCAAGTGCAGTGTCTAGTACACTTGCCCTGTTCAAGGTCTTGACAGTGATGTGAAAATGTCATGATGCACATGTGGGGGTAGTTACATATCCTCACTGCTAGTACCCAGGGTAGTCTTTGGAGTGGAGCGCTGTTACTGGCTGACATTCATTTTGTGGTTCAGTACATTTCACATAATTCTGTTTCTAATTCAAATCCTACCCTCTTAAACCCTTGTACCATCACTCACTTAGTACTGATACAAATTTAGTAATCAGATTCTGCTTCATCAGTCAAGCCATTAAAGAGTAGAAATAGACCTGTTTCTGGAACTTGACTTTCAGACACATATTGCCTGTGGAACAGAGAAATGCTGATAATTATCGTTGCTAGAACCTTCCAAACACCTACGTTGCTGTGCCTGTGTAGTTTTGTTCAGGCTCTATTATACAATCTTGATTACCTAAGGCTGACGTAAATGTCAAGAATTTTCCTAAGAAGAATGGTTTCTGAGAATCTCTACTGACCAAAGCATGAACATGATAATGAACAGCTAAAAAGTGAAAGATGTAAGCAGAAAAATACTACGAACTTGGCTCAGGAGTGTGAATTGCTGTGGATGTCAGGTGTCTTCTAACATACCACACAGAACAACAAAGGAAACAGAGGAGCAAGGGATATTCACTGATGTGCAGTTATAGCAACAGACATAACTGATGCTTATCAAAGTCACTGTGTGGAACCAATGCTTTCTGCTATACCACACCGTATAAGGGCACTGGTCACGTACACACAGCTAACTTATACTGTGATATCGAGCAGCCAGTGAGCTACAGCACGATGAGCTAGAGGGAGAAAAAGAACAACACAGGAAGTATTTTCCAGGATAAGTATCAGGTCAGTATTATTTAACACAATTTTCATTTAGGAGAGAAATGGAAAAGAAGATGGTGATGGAAGATACTGTTTACAGATACTTGAATGAGATTCTAAAAGGATTTAAAGATATTTGAGAATGACAGCTCTGTCTGAACAAGAAAATGAAAAAGGTAGCATAGATTAAGGTCCTTAGTCACTGAACTGTAGATGATCCTGCAAAGAACAAGAACATTTATGAAAAATATGTTTATCAGAGATCTGTCAATCTAACAAGTTCAAAATTACAGGATGCTTTAGAAAATTACTTCTCCCTTCTCCACAGATTATTCCTAATTAGCTCAAAAGATCCCTAATACTAACTTGGAATTTTAGCTATGCCCTTGTAAAATGCAGCACCTTTGATTTCATGTGCTGATCAGTTGGAAGATGGAGGCAGACATTAAGGGAAGCTGGTGAACCCATGAAAGAGGAGATCCCACCACACTCCTCCCTTCTCTGCTGCCTATTTGACTCTCTGCAGAAGTGTAAATCTGCTATTCAGTAGGGTTGCAAAAACGGCTCTGAAAGGTTTCCACTTTCCACATCTGAACTGTGTTTGACATGTCTTGATGATGTTTGGCTCCTTAAAATAACTGCCCTTTTTAGGTTTTGAACAAGTTGCTTTGGGAAAGTGTTTGTGATTCAGTTCCTTCATGCCTTGCAGGCCTGTAAGCTCCTCTCAGTGGCTGATGATGTCAGGAAAAGGCTTGGCAAGTGTCTCATACACAGACTGGGTTTTGGGAGGAATTCAAACTTAGTGTCAGCCTCCCAGGTGCACAATTATTCCCATGACCCTTAATCGGTAGGAGTCACAGACACTCCCACAGCTCTGTGGAACTGAATGGAAAAACATCTTTTCAATGAGACAAAGCCACTTCCCTGCTAACATGTACATTATCTATTTCTATTCCTCTCAGAGATATTTGCCAATTCTCAATGCATCTTTAGTTACTTGTGACATCAGCTTTGCATTCGAGCAGTTAATACTGATTTTCAAGTCAAGCATATGAATGCACAAAACATTTAATGTGCAATGCTAACTGAACGAATGTGTGCATTTAATTAGTATCCTACCTCATTTACCAGCTCAAGTTTGCTTATGTCCTACATTTGCTGACTGAAGAGCATGAACTAGGTGTAGAGATTCAATTTCCTCCAAGGAATTACATTTTTTTGAAAATGCCCATTTCTTCTGAACACTTTGAAATTCATTACTTAGTAAAACTGAGTGCTTTATGTATATTGTAACACTGCAACTTAGTTTTTAAACAGGTCTTTAAAAAAGCCACAGGTTGCCATACATTTAAATGTATAGTTATATTCCTCTGCATACGACAGGACAGGACTGCATATCATTTTGCTTCCTGATCCCAAGTACCTTTGAGCTAATTTCTCTTTTTCCAAAACTACCAGTTAGGAGGTGGAAAAAAAGAAATAAAAACAAAAGAAATAAAAATAAAATAAATAGAAATTCATATTTTATTATTACATGCTTTAGTTCCACAATATGTGAGGCCACAGTGAGGTTGTCTTCTCTAGGGTCAGATTACCAGCTACTGTGTTAAACATCTGCACCACTATTCAGCAGCCTTCCTGTTTCCTACAAGTTTCCTGTATGACTGAACAGCCATGTGCTTAAAACACACCAGCCCAGGAACAGTTACATGTAGAAGTGAGGTTTGATTTATGGGAGCTAAATTGTTGGATTTAATCCCAAGTTTCTGAACATTAACTGTGAAATGCAGAACATTGTCAGGTCTCACTGAAACCTCTGGAACCTGAGGCCATTGCTGAGAAATTTATGGGAATAGGCAAATAATCTGCAATATTTCTTGGGATTAAATTGAGAACTGCCATCAGTAATGACAGTTTCCCAGCTTCAAGCGAAAGAAGAATTTATTCATTTATCTGATTGTGCATAGCAGCCCGGGCTGGGTTCAAGATCTGAATGGCCAATGTATTTTACATAGGCTCCCTTCAGATCAGATATCTAAATGCATGTAAACACTGATTGCAATGTAAATTTGGGGGCTAAATTGTTTCAAAATATCTGTACATTTGTGCTTCATAGAGCCCAAATTCATCTCAGCAGTAATCAAACCATAAAATCTTTGTGAGCTTCAAAATATGTACAATGAAGCAAGCTGTACCTAAACCAGAAACATACATTTGTTTTGGGAGTAACAAGGAATTCCAGAGACAGTTTAATGCAAAAAAAAAAATAAGGGAAGAAAACTGTTCCTGGCTAACTATACATAAAACAAATGGAGAGAAAAGTTTAAGGAGGCTGTGTGCCTCCAAACAAGTCCAGATGAAGCTCTAGAACACTAAAAAGGCAAGATGAAAGTCTATTTGCATTGCAAATAATTATAATTCTGGATGCCAAGGAAAACTGATAGCAAAGAGTTTATTAGCTCTTGCTTTCAACCATCAGTGCAGACTGGAGAACAAATGACCATCAATAGTTCTAAAGACATCACAAGATACAAACCCCCTAAGGACTTAAGAGACAGAAGGAGCTGAATGCACATGAAGGGAATCATAAATTAGGAAACCCAGTCCCCAGTGAGTAGTCAAGCAACCCAGTGGCAGAACTATGATGGCAAATTGCAGCAGGCTTGTTCTTTCCCCTGAAAATCATTACAAACCCATTTATTTAGTTAGTTCTTGTCCAGTGGCCTGAACCTTTTTCTTGCTGAAAACAGAGTACTGCAAGGGAGAGATTCCACAGCACTGTTAACCTACAGAAATACAGGTGGTTACACCCAAACAAAATTCTATAATAATGCACTGGAGCACATAGCAAAGTTGGCATGGGATAACTCCCATGGTAACTTTGCTACATGTTCTAGTGCATTATTATAGGATTTTGTTCAGGTATTATGAGCATACACAGGGAAAGAAATAACCATTAACTTCTCCAAAACGGTATCAGCAGGAGAGATCTTATAACTCTGTCACTGAATCTTGCTAATGCAAGGGATCAGTCCAGCAAATGCAGCCACCTGTCCTAGAAGAGTGTTGGTGAGATCAATGTAACAGATCCTTCTTGCCTCTCATACCCAAGGAATTGTCAGGGAGGGATTTGTCTGGAATGAATCCATTGATTAAAAGGATAAAATACCTTTTCTTTACACAGATGAGAGCACCACTATGGTTTACAGTATTCTCAGGCTTTCTGTCAGTGACTTGTCCATCTGCTTTTGACAGCTATTTTCCTTATTTGATTGCTGATCTGCATAGAGCTTTACAGGCACAGAAAGGTAACTTTCTACTCTTGGACATTTAATAACATGCACTGCAGTCAATTCTGAAATGCTGAGAATTTGCAATTCTGTCCACAATCTACAGTATTCTGGGTACTTACAAGAAGTGCATAGAAATAGGACAGCAACCCAGGGCAAACAGCACCTTCCCACTAACTTCCAAGAACACTGAGATGACTATGCTGGTGGGGAAACCTGCTAACCTCTAGGTGCTCACCCCCAGAACATGGCAGATTCTCAAAGAGCTGGCTGAATCATGGTGTCATACCTGCACCTTTCAGATCTCATTGTGTGGAAAATTACTTTTAGTAAAGAATAGACAGCAAAGAATTCAACTCACCCATCTTCTTCACAGCCAAAATCACAAGTAGAGCAGCTGCTTGTAAGCTGAGGATCTGCAACACACTCAGTGCTGGTTTTCAATTTTGCATAGTTTTTACGAACAAGATATCCCCTGAAAGCTAAAAAACATAGACAGGAATCCGATAAATTGTGCAGCACCTGAAACACAGACTGGCATCTGTGTCTGCAGTGCAGCACTGAATGTCCCCAGCTTTCACTGAATGAGTGGACAAGCACAATTAGGACTTCCCAGGAGTGGCTCCAATGTTAACAACAGCTGGAAATTCTACAGGGCCTTACACTCTCAGTGTTAGAGTGACCACTTGGCACAGTCCAGGCAAGGAAAGCAGGCCTTGAAATGAGAATGTGTCTAATTTGAATAAGAATCCAACTTAGAATGTATTAAAATATATCATATAAAATCACTCCCAAAACAACTTCTTTAATCACAACTTCCATAATTTGAGCTAGTCAGAATTTTACAGAATCAGAAATTTAGCCTTCTTTGATTGTGGGGTAGCAGTTTGAGGACCCAGGGGCAGATATATTCAATTAAAACTAGAAAAATGATTAATGTCTTCTCCTATTTTTTCAACTAATTTCAACCATAGTAAAACATTTAAAATACTCTCATATAAATAATCAGGAAAAAAAATTATAGAGATTGGAATTCATACCATTCATGAAAAAAAAAAGAGCTGAACAAAACAATCACTAGAAATACTAAATGAAATATGAAGCATGCAGTGGAGTAAAACGGCAATGAATAACATTTTAAAGATACCTACATCCTTTATTTCTGTGGACTGTCTCTGGATTTGGGTACCTAAATACCATAATTTTTTCTGTAGTTTTATCTGTCAGGAATTTGCTTGAATTTCTGCCACCTGTGAGCAGTTAGTGACACAGAACAAACCACAGATAGCAATACATACTGCACTTAGGACAAAGGACTAAAAAGGGTTACGATATACACTTCAACTCATAAATTTTTACATTTTATTTTTGTGGAGTTTATTGCAAGCATTATTTTAAGAAGAAATACCTTGATAAAAGGGGAGAGAGGACTGAAAAACGAAGTAAATAGTCTCAGTACCATTGTTTCAGTATACAACCAGAAATTAACTGAACAAGAAGGCTGAGGGGTGTGAGAGAAAGAAGCTGTTTATCAGTCCAGAAGTGCTTTGACTTAAAACAGTGAGACAATATGCACGAAATATTGGAACTAAGATCGGGAGATATTCAGATTTTGGGGAAAAAACCCTTCCTGTCCAGGAAAAGCTTTTAAGCACACTAAATGCATGCAAACCCAAAGTTAGTCTGCAGACTAATCACACAAAGGAGAAAAGCAGCTCTCCCACTGGGCTGTTCAGTCCAGGATCACATACTACAGTGCAGTGTAGGATAGGCACAGAATAAGGTCCAGGGCAGCCTCATGTAGGATCAGGGTCATGATAACATTGTAGATTACAAAGGAAAATCAGGTGCTAAAATAAATGTTAAATAAATTGAAGAACAGAGAAATTGGTCAGAAGATTAACAAGTTTTCCCTGCATCTCACACTTTTGATTTTGTGAAAAGACAAGAAGTAGACACTGCCTATAAAACAGAACAAAGACACTGTAGAACTTGCAATCCCTGAATTATCCCCAAATTATGATATAATTGAGTGATTTTCTTTTTCTTCCATCTAACTACTCTTAAACTTAGTTTCCCAGGGACTTTTTGTGCAATAAAAATATGGTGGAGGAAAAAAAATAGAGCTACCTCAATTGCATTGGC